AAAATGGCCTTCAAATTGGTTTCCAAATAGGTTGCCTTTGGAGAAGTAAAAACATTATTGATAAAGAGAAAATATGAGCACAGTTTCCTTTATATACCATTGCCCTATTATTAACTACAGAATTAAGGCAATAACAAGAAGTATAAAATCTGGCAAACTTAAAGTTTAAACATTAATAAAACATATTACTTTATCACAGTATTAGCAGTGTTCAAAGAACCTGTGTGATCTGCTTTTTTTTCTTGGTAAGAATTATTAACTCAGTGGTTGGCAAGGTCAGACAAAAAGAATTGAATGAACCAGAACATTTCATCTAAGGATGCTAACTATTTCTGGAACTCTTGTTTATTTATGAAGCTAATTAAATAATTTCACTAAATTTACAGATGTGATTTTGCTTTTACATCCATGGATTTAAAATAATGAATGTATTTTTAAACATCAATAGAAAGTAAAAACAAATCATATTACTGCATGGCGTCATCAATTGTATGTAGTGTAAAAATGATGCAAGCCTCTTACATTTTTTGTAGAACACAATTTTCATTTCAAGGAACAAGACATTCCTAAATGAAAATACTCATAATGCTTGTGGCTACATAACCTAAAATTGGGGATTTTAATGACACTTCAAATGAAAAGAAGGCTAGTTACAAGAGAAAAAGTAAAATAAGAAGACGCAGAAAAAGCAATGGAATTACTGCCATTTTGTATTTATTGCCAACCAACGAGTTTAATGTGATAAAATTGTTTATTGCTAAGCGACTGAACACTCCAGTTACTTGACATGAGGATTACATCTCAAAAACTGATATACATCTTTTTAATTTATTTAAATCACCATATGGTAATGAAATAAGTTTTAGCTTGTTTTATCATATAAGAATAGGTACAATTTAATGGAAACAACATGTACAAAATGCATTAGAATCACAACTTACCTCAAATTTCAAAATAAAAAAAAAAAAAAAAATAAAAATAAAAAGAAAGTGAGAAGAAACAGCTAGTGAAATGGAAAGTAGATGTCAGTAGATGACATTGATAATGTGCACCGATATTTCCCATTATAATGCTCACAAAAAATGTCAATCACTAACAGGACTTATGACGTAAGTCAATGCAGTAAATCAAAACTATGGATATACAGTGCCTGAACTGTACCTCACTTTGTCTAAGTAATTTCATTGTTAATCAAATACAAAACACAACACAAATATTCAAACAAAGCTATAAGTGCTCTCAATTGAACATAAAACTGTAATATGGGTATTCAGTAAACTTTAAATATCTGTTTTTAGCCACAAAATCTGTCTGTCTTCTTTACAAAAGTTATATCATAATTATAATACTAAACAATAGGGGGAACAAGGGGGGGGGGAACAAATTTACTTATATGAATCATCTTTATGAAAAATATAAAGAAATGTATATCCCTTTTTAAAAGGTATTAAAAGTAGTGTTCCATTTTACAGTCAATATAAACATTTAGGTCTGTATCAACTATAGCAACAGAAATAATCATTTCTTGTTGCTCTCTTAAAACTAGAAATAACTAATATTCTTTCATAAGAAATAACAAGCAACTGCATGAACACTTTTGACACACTAAGTGCAAAATCTGAGTAAAGCTAAAAGTGGAAGTTTTATCAAATAATTTTTCAAAGAAAAATTCATTCCTTTGTTTTTCAAAGAAAAATTATTCTACATTATGTAGCAGAAATGCAATATACTTACAAAATTGAAGTAAAAAGCTTATTTTATCATATTCTCAGGTTTACATGTATATAAAAATAGTAAATAAATCATAAAATGATATGTAAATTCCAGACCTAGAAGAATAGAAAACACTTCATATTTATTGTACCTTGTGAAGCACCAAGCTAGTATATTTCTTAATGGTACCTTAAGAGATGCAAGAAATGAAAGAAACTATCAACCCCACACATCAATTCTATGGCAAAACTTTTGATTAGTTGTGTGAGTCCTGTACTTACTGACACATTTATCTAATTGTTTATAACAATATGACAAACCAATTACTTTTGTAAATACATTACAATTGCAGGGAGCAAGTCACTTCAGATAAACACCACAAATGAATCAGAAAAAACAAAAATGTTCGACGTCTAGGAGCTTCACATTTTGAAGAGCAAACAAAAAGGTTCTATGTTCCGGTAATCAAACATGTTTTCTTAACATTAACACTTGAAGGACACTCTACAGATGTTACAGAGGTCACGGACAACGAACTTTTATGCATGGACAGTATAATTTATATTTTAAGAACAGTTTCCCACCATTAACAGGAAACCGGCAACATGTGACATCAAACCTTTCTGAGTGCTCCGATTCAAATGTCTTTCTAGCTGATGAATTAATTTTGAGTTTGCTTTACAAAGTTAATAATGGAAAAAAAAAAGACAATTATTGTACCTTCCCTTAAAGGTTTGGGTTCTATATTTTCAGTGACAGATGTACACTTAGGTTTTTATAATCAATAATTATTACAGTTATCAATAATTTTTGTTTCTGTTTCGTTGTAAGTTTCTTGACCTCAATAAAACAGACTGAGTTTTTACTAAAACAATTTATTTTATGTTATATTTCTTATTTTTATGATGTCAACTAACCTAGACTCTGGGTATGTCATAATTTGTTTTTATTATTACTATTGTTCAGTTCTTCTCAATGCATCGCTTTATCAGAGATGTTATGATTTTATTGAATATAACATACTTTATATTTTTAGGCTGATTTTTGAAAATGAACCCAAATAGGGTAGAAATGTTAAATATAATATGAAATAAATTGTTGTATAAGAAACTGAAGTCTGTTTTATTAAGGTCAAGAAATTTGCAATACATTTTTTTTTTTTTTTCATTTTTTAGAACTGTAGTTTTTCTTGCATTTAGCTTTCTTTTGAAAGAATTTTAAGAAATACGTATCCCTCTTGTCATTAAAGTTGTCATCTTTAAATTCTTGTGCAGAACTTATCTAGGGTGTCCATCCAAAATGACATACTCCATGACCCAAATATCAATACCAGTAGTACCAGTTATCAGAATTGAATTTCTAATTTTCCTTCAATATAAAAAGCACATTTTAAAAAAGGTTTAAAATGTGTGTTTACAAAACATGGAATACAATGTGTCAATTACATCTACATTAATAAACTGACAACACTCCAAGAAAATAAGAACTGTGGTTATTTAACTCTCTCAAGGCCACATCACAGCTGAAGCACTTTCTAAAAAATTGGAAGATTGATTACAACTTTATAACTTGTAAGTCCATCTTACCACAGTCCCTTAAAACACGTTTTTGTGCTTATGACATAGTACTAGTTCATTACATAAAAGTTCCAAAAATACAATATAAAAGACTGGAGCATATTTAGGCACATGCTAAAAAATATCAACAAGTATAAATTGTCTTTAAGTCCACAATAGTTTTTGAGAAGGCACCTTTTAGTTTCATGGAGGCAAAACATAAATCAACCAGATAGATTACATTGTACACTGGCTTTCTTGTTGGTAATGAAAAGATGAAGAAATAATTTTGTGGGCAGGAAGTCTCTTTGAGTTTTTGATGAGTGCTCTCTGATGCATTACAATCATTTTTACATTTCCTCCTTTTTTAGAAGAAAGTTTAAGCATGATTGTATGTCTAGTCAGCACAAAATCTGCTGAGATAAACTATGCAGGATTAATTCTTCATCACTGAAGTAGCTGGCTGAGGAATAGCTCAACACAGTACACTCTCCCTTGTCACTTGTCATGTTTATACCCAACGGCTGTTAGTACAGTACCACAGCGCTCCCCCCAAACAATTAGATGCACCAAATAAAAAAAACAACAACAAATATATAAGTTAGTGAGAACCAAGAAGCATTATCTTCAAGAAGAAGAAGAAAAATAAAACACCCCCAAATTATTTCTTCCTTGAACGTTCTTTGGAGAGCGAATAAAACAAAAGCTTGTGTTGAACTGTCAGTTATCTGGCTAAACACATCCTGGAAGAAACATACGACGTCATGTCACATCATTAAAAAAAGTCACTGCTTGTCGTAATTTCGTATGAAAAACCATTGTTGCACACTGGAAGAAGGCTCGCGGGATTTTTAAAGCGGGTGCGCTCATTAACGCAGCTATGCCATGCAACCGTTGTCCACCCCGCCCGCCGCCGCGTACCCGCCGCCGAAACTGCAGGAGACAGGGCCGTACGAGTGGTAAGGGTCGCAGTAGCTGGCCTGGTGGTGGTGGTTGGGGGCATTGAGGTCGGCGCAGAAGGGCGCTGTGGTGGCGGAACCGGGGCCCTGCGCCGAGGGAGGAGACAGCTGGCTAGGACCCGCCGCGCCGCCTGCCGCTGCGCCGTTGTTCTTCAGGCAGGTGGGGCTGTGCATGCTGAGCATTTCCATTAGCCGCCTCCTCTGCGTCTCCAGGTCTTGGATTTGGTTCTTCAGCTCGTGATTTTGAGTTTCCAGGATTTCTGATTCCTGCGGGCACACAAGTTGAAAAGTTTTGCACTTCAGAGGGGGGAAATGGTATAGGGGCAGCTTTCCCTCCGCCAGATTAGGCCTTTATTTATTTACGCCAAAAACAGTTAAAAACTGTATATGACGTGCTATGGGGAGAAGTTAATTTGAAGTTACATTTATGTCTTAGCCCTCGTGTCGGCCATCTATGTCTTTAGGCCTCGTGTTGGAGGCGAAGGGATTGGATTTGCCATAGAGAAAGGTTAGTTTTTCTCTGGGGAACCATCAGTTCAGTATCGTGCTCAGGCAAAAAAGTACATTGCTGTTCATTTACTGTATACTGACAGTGTAAACAAACGACTGACGAAAGACTGAAGCGTAACCAAATGAGTGCGGGCCCGCACGCAAAACGTTTATCTGGGCCCCCTTTCTAAAACAGCAAACACAAGTAGTACCTTAAATAATAAGAATATCATCTACATATAGGCTCTGTTTTACACGGTCCCGCGTACATTGCGGCCCGAACGTTAGGCCACTGTTAACCAATACCTGTATATATACTACGATTTATTTAACCATGCACTTGACGTAAACCAGCTGTTCGCAGTTTCATCCAATCGGGGACTTCAACGTCCCCATAGTGAAGTTACTGTAGCGACATATAAGCTACCGTTTAGGTGAAGCCGCAACAGCTGATTTACTCTAGTGCATGACTAAATAAATCGTACTGTAAGTCATGTTTTTGCCATGGATTCTTTGATTGTAACGTAGACATCATAGTAATTGCAATTCTTTGTAACTTCTACAAATATATACGACAAAATTTTCTTTAGGTCAATGAAATAATATAAATAAAATAAAATATTATGTACCAAGGGCGTTATAAGGGTTTTAATGACTAAGGGGCGAGAAAATTACCGAGGGCATTTTGTCGCGCAAGATCATAAGATACAGTTAACGCCCGTGGTATGTGCATTTCATTTTTTACCTAATTGTAGTGAATCAGATTTATTTTTTTACCATTTAACTAATGTTAACTTGACTCGGTTTGTATTTTCATATTTCCTTCCCATAATTCCCTCCAGAAGATAACATTTAGCATCATTCAACTGCTTTCATTTTTCCCTGGAAATCAGGATCCTCTCGTTCAAAGCATTTACATAATGGATTTAGGTACATTATGTAGTGTATGTCGAGTTCCGTATCGAAGGCAATATGGAGTTTGTGCGTCCTCGAACGTTAAAGAACTATCGATCTTCTGCGCATGCACAGTCCACGTTTCCTAACACTTTAGTGCAGCTGCACATGCGCAATTGCAATCAATCGCTCTCCGCTATGGAGTCTAAAGCTCCCTAATAACCAAGATGGAAAGCGATGCGTGAGCTATCGCCAGCCCTTCAGCCAATAGGCTCCTCACAATATTAGCGGGAAATTTAAATACAGCCAGATATACCACCTTGTTACAAGTTATTGAAACAGATAAATAAAGAACTTTTTTTTAAATGTTACATCTTTTACTTCAATTACACCTATATGTTATTTTTGGTTGGTCGTTGAAAATTGTCACTTTAAGCGGCAAGCGATCTAGTTTTTCAAATGAAGTGCCTGTGTTGTGGTTACGTGGTTCGTTACGAAAACTGATGCTGAGCAGAACGAGCAAAAATCGGTGCGTCAAACTAGCTCACTCATCTCTTACCATCATTGGTAATAGCAGGCAAAAACGTATCAGGAAAACCGAAAAGACTTACGTGTACGAGGTTGACAGTACGTTCTCTCTTCTTCAACCGACACTTGGTTGCGGCGATCTTGTTTCGTTCCCTCCTTCTCCTCCTTCGTTCTTCGTCTTCGGCAGTCAACTGCAACACAAGGAGCGGACGCGAATGTCGCAAATGCCATGGTTTTGTAAACATTTCTATATTTTAATAGGAATCATTTATCTTCTTCTCGAGTACGAAATATTGAGATTGCTGTTTGTATATTTCTAGAGCTATTGATTCGAAACTACACTGTTATAGTTCTTCCGAGAAAATGTTAAAATTATATAATATTTTTGACAGCTTGTTAAAAAGGTAGACCAAAATAATTGTCTTTCTAATTTAATATTATTGTATTCAGCGGTATTTGATTGTCTGCAATATGAGAAGAATACCACTGTAGGCCTATGCAATAATATTTTGATAGCTATTACAAATATGGAATGTTCTACTGATGAGATGAAGTTGTTTTGTAAAAATATACATATATCGATATGTAGCATCGCAAGGCTAAAACTGACGGGCGGGATGTGCTGTATACATTATTAACCCGGTAGTTCCGGTAACGGTTAATCATGAGATTGCTCTTTACGATGAAAAAACGTTAATTTACCAGTTAAATTATGATATCCACACTTCAATGTAAATAGTAATCACTCGAGGGTCTGGGATCAATCGTTTTTCATAGGTATTTTGAATGGAAGCATGGTTGTACCCAATTTTTGGAAGTGTTTAAATATATCACATAGGATTACTAATGTTACAGTTCAAACACCCTTAGAAACGCTCCTAGTTGCATTTCAGTAAATTTGCTCGGGAAGAGAATGATTTAGACAGAAAAAATCTTGTTGACAATATTTTCAATCATTTTTTTAAAACTTTCACTTTATACTAAATTTTTGACGAAAGTTCTATTGATGAGCTTATTTTATTTACGATACACTTTTGAAGAAATAATGCAATCATTAATAATTGGTTGAGGCCCAATATATGTTTTATTCTGATTACTACAACTTAATTGTTAATTAAGTTATTGGTAAGGTTTAATTTTTGGAGCGACTGAATCACATTTGCCCTAAACATCGAGTGCTAATGTCTTCTAAGTAGTGACAAAACTGGCGCCGAAAGAAAATATAATAAAACGACGAGCTGGTTGCTCACAGAACATCTATAGAAGGACACATTACGTAATGAATAGTCATACCAAGAATATAGACCGCCAACAACAAGTGACGATATTGTTTAAGTTTATCCACGGTTTAAAATGGGAACCAATCCCCACGCGGCCGGTAGATGTCTCTGCAGGGCGAGGTCCGGTCTGGCAATAAACGCCATCTTGACAAGTGACGATATTGTTTAAGTTTATCCATGGTTTATAAATGGACGCAAAGAAGTTCACTGCATGGTCGGTAGACGTCTCTGCCACGTTTCCTGCCCGCCTTAGCGGACGCCATATTGTTTTGGCACGAGAGAGAGAGAAAGAAAGAAAGAAAGAGAGAGAGAGAGAGAGAGAGAGAGAGAGAGAGAGAGAGAGAGATAGCTATACTAATGCCGCGTATACAGGACCCCGGCGAAAAGCCAATGGCTCCTCTTCGCCAATCAACACGTGTGCCTTGGATGATTTAAATGCAATTACTAACAATAAAAAGATATAAAAAATAGGCTTTACTTTTTTGAAGATGATGATGATGATAATAATAATGATAATAATAATAATTATAATAATATTTATATATGTAAACGACTCAGATTGTAATGTCTCCAGAGAAAATAAATACAATAAATTGACTTACAAATGCTTAAACGGATCACGGTCGATCTATTGGCCAGATCAATCCATATGAAATATATTATCATTTCCGACCTTTAATATTTTCCATTATGTGTTAAAAACTCTCCAAAAGACTAAGATTAGTATTTTGATCGTTTAACTAATTTTCGTTTTACTATTTGTCGTGTAGCCTACTTTTTAACAGTTAATTTATTACAAATATTAAAAAAGTAACTACAATGTCTACCCCTTGCAAATAAATTTTTGAGGCACAAAATGGCGGACATTACAGATTACATGCTTTTTCGGGCAGAAGAAAGTAACCGAAAATGAGCATGCTTAGAATGAAAATTGTTAAAAAATAATTTACTTTCATTTCTATTTCATATAATTTGGGGCAAATAAAGAAGTAAAATTTCACATCACACCTATGTAATAAAAAATATTCCACTTAAAATATATTTGCAAGACGCGAAAATATTACGCCCGACATTTTTTCATTCGGTGAAGATGTCGATGACGTCAGGGACCCGCCTCTAAGCGGATGATCAGTAAGGTTACCGGACGTCGATCGAGTTGAGGACGTGACCGCTAGATGGCTTCGCGGGTGCCGGCACGAATGCGACAGCGGACGCCGCCATTTTATTCTGGCGCGCAGGCCGCGGGGAGCGGGGCTTGGCTAAGCTTCCCGCGCTTCCAGGAAATCCGTCTCGAAATAACGAGAAGCGCGGCGCGGTTTTCTGGACGCCCGCGGTCCGCGCAGCGCCGGACCCTACTTGCGAGCGGAGGGGGGGAGTGTAGGGATGGCAAAAGTAGAAATGAATCGTGTATACTATTAGACGCGGTGGCAAAACCAGAGTTGGTGTTACTCAACGTTGAATTTGATAGTGTCAGTCCGTCAACTGAATATAAAAATTTAAATTATAGAATTGCCTATTTTTTTAAAAAACACCCAAATGTTTAGATATTATTTTGTAAATATTATAATATTGCAATTTATTTGCATTGGACAACAATTCCTTAATTTTGTTAATTATTTAAAATTGAATTTAACTAACGAGAAAGATGTATCTGCTTTCATATTAGTGTTTTTAGACCTTTGGGCTGCAGTCGTCTTTCTGTGACGTCGCGTATAACTTATGAAGTTTAATAAAATTTATATATATATAAATAATATATATATATATATATATATATATATATATATATATATATATATATATATATATATATATATATATATATAAATTAAGAGCGGTGTATCCTTTACCGTGAAAATTACATTCAAGTAATAGTACTAGTAAATCTATTTATAAAATTATCACAAAATCATATACACGTAACTGAATTAAGAAAGTTTTAATAATTTTAAATTAAAATTATAATAGCTGTCATACTTAAAATCGTGTTGCCCGCGGAAGACCGTTTCCCCTAGTTTTGCCACCCGTCACTATGGCAAAATTGAAATTTCTTCAACATCTCCCCATCCACGCGTTCATTTTACGAGCAAAATTGAGCCATTCTTCCGAAGCGATTAAACAATGATAAGCATTTGGATTTTATTTAGTTATTTTTGGATTTTTCTAGAAACTATATTGTGTACGCAGGGGAAGATCCAGAGACGAATTTTGGGAAGTGAATTTTTTAAATTCAAAATGTGTTGGTCGAATGTGTCATATTACATATTATGTAGAAATACGCAGGCTAAACTTAGCTCGTGATTTATTCGTTTTAATGTGTATACGAAAATACTTTTGGTTGATAGTTTCGTGGCAAGTTAAAATTAATAGTTACTGAAAAGTTTTGGGAAGGGAAATTTTCCTCCCCTTGGATCTGCGCCTGGTGTACGCAATGGCGTAAGTGTATTAAAAGAGCGGGTTTTGAACTACAATTGAGAATGTTTCATACATAAATAATATTTTTTATTTAAAACGTCGTCAAAATTAATGGTCTTTTAAACGCATGATTTCCCATACTGTCTTGCATCTACGGGAAAAGGAAGCAAAACTGAGAGTACAACGAAAGAAAACTTTCGAGTGCTTAGTAGCACGAGCTAATATTGTAAAATAGCTCCGAAAATTTTCAACCGATATTTTTTTACATTTTAAGTACATCGTAACGAGAGTGGGGCTATAGAAATTCCAGACAAACCAAAAATGACTACTCAGCTTTATTAATTATTTTCATGGGCATCCTGTCATTGAAGCAGTTTGTCCTGAGAAATGCTACTGAGGCAAGTTGGGCAATGGTGCTGGCAAGGGCGCGGATGACAAGAAGCAATGATCCCAACTTATTTTGGAGGTTCCATCTATGTTAAGACAGTGTTTTCAATGCATTCGTAAATTATACTTCATTATATACAAATACATATACGAATGAAACAAATTATTTTTTGAGTTTCAAAATTGTTCTAATAACATAGCGTTGAAAATTAATTATAATCTTCAGTTCGAGCTCAATAGGCTTATATGTTATGGCGACTGTACTTGAATTGAATTCATACCTTATTTTAAGTGGCGAGACTCAGGCCATGAGGCCTGCTCTTCCGTCTGACCACGCAAAATACTGTGTACTTGCTGTGTCGTTTACTAATGGCTATTATTACAAAAATAACATATTTTAGATTATTCTGTGTTTTTTTCACTTTCGGTTTAATCTGGCGATTATGACTGCTGAAAATCACGTAATCAGTTACGCAAATGCATAATACATTTTTACATCCCATTATAATACAAAAACTAACATAAATATTATACATTACAAGCAACATATTTCGACATTCACAAATAGTTGAATAACCAAAGAGGTAAAATAAACTAGTGGTGTTACAGAATGACTCAGGCTTTCCCGTATTAGTTTTCTATTTCCTTTGGTCTCGGCTAGCTATTCGAACTTGACACAGACTCTTGCCTGCGGACATCGACATCAACATTGCCGCCCAAAATACATTTTTATGAACTTTTCTAGATTTTTCGTTTTACTAATAATAGAACGGAATTATTACTTTAAGATTATTAAAGAACAGTAAATGGCAATTTTATTAGAAAAAATTGGAGCCGTTTTTAAGAAAATGGGGCATAATGTAAATATTAACGACGTGAGAGACAAGTCCAAAAAAATATTTGTAATTGAAAACAAACAAACAAAAGAATGAAGCAATATCGCGTTTATGTCATCTTATAGAGTGCATGTTGCACAATCTCTACTACAAGTTTATAGAAAAAAAAGCATGGGTTTTCGAGAAACGTTTGTTTTTATAATTTTTGTAAAATTGCGCATATTTTTCACAGACTGTTAAATTTTTCAAAAAAATATACATCAATACATTAATAAAAGAACGAATTATGAACAACAAATTTTACTTGAAGTAAAAAATCTCTCTTTAATTTGGTTGCTGTAGGAGATCTCCGAAAAAATTCAAACTTTTGAAATTTTCGAAATTTCTGAGATAACCGTGCAAATCAGACCTATGCCACATTTATAAGTGTATTTTACTCTATTCTTATAAGAAATTTAAAGTAAAAATTTGGAGTCATTTTTGAGAAAATTTTGAAAATGTCCCAGGGATTATATGTAAAGTACCTCTAAAAGCTAATATATGATATTCGAAATCGCAGAGCTTCGACTGAGGCCAAATAGACAGGGGTTTCAATTTGGAAAAAATCTTTTGCAATCCTTCGCTTCCTAGGCGCTAGTGTTCACATGCACTAGACAGATGGACGGGCGGACGGACGTTTTGAAAAAGGGTTTTTTGAACACTTCAGGGGACCCCAAAACGTGTATTTCCGTTGAAATCTCAAAATCGTTTTTTTTCAGCATTACATAACTTTCCCAATACTCCGTATATACTACGTACGTAGTATATATTTGTGACATGTGGTCAGGATATTTGTGACATGTTGTCAGGCGGAAGAGCGGGCCTGATGGCCCGAGCCTCGCCATATTAATAAAGGCATATTATTATTATTATTATTATTATTATTATTATTATTATTATTATTATTATTATTATTATTATTATTATTGTTATTATTATTACGTATACGGGAAAGTAAAAACAAACAGAACAGTAAGAAGCTCGATAAAATTGTCCTTCTTACTTCAAACGAGGTGACCAATTGAAACACATAAAAACCATTCATTCATTGATCAACCATTCATTGAATTCTAACGTCATTAATTTATCTATTTTCCAAAGACAGTTTTACGTGGGTGTCATTTTTGAAGGCAATTATAATAAACAAAAATAACCGAAACAATTTGTGAACCAAATTAACAACAAACAATTTGTAGTAATAAGTAGATTCCTCCCATCCTTACTTGCCTGCATCTCGAGAAGAAGAAGAAGAGGAGAAGGAAGAGGAAGCGCTAGGGGCGCTGGTGAGGGGCGAGACTTACATGGCAGCAAGGTCCCAGCAGGCCGCAACCCTGCAGGCCGCACACGCCCAGCTACGAACACACAGGAACATGCGCGCACCCTGCCACGCCACGCCACGCCCACCATGCACCTCCCCACTTGCCTAGCTAGCCTTGCTACGCATTACATGTTGCCCTACATTGCCGAGCATATTTCGCCCAATCTCAGTCCGCCTCGCAATAAATTCTTCTACATCGTCATGCATCAATCTGCATTCTTTTAAAATACCTGTCCTTGCTGTGCAGTGTCCTACATTCCCTTGTCCTGTCTTATGCCGCATGGTTTTCCACAGAGCTACATTGCTTTAACCAGAAAGGGTAAATACCCGCCTGCCCTATTCGACATTCTACATCGTTATGTAAATATGCATAAAATTGTGTTGTAAATGCTTATAATAATTATTTCAAATGGTGTAGCCTTGCTATGGTTTGCCCTACATTGTCTTACCTTACTATCTATTACATTGCCTGGCTTAGCATGGTCCAACCTCGGTCTACCTCAACTTGTATTGTTCTATATTGCATTGACATGGTTTGAATTGTTCTACATTAACTTGCCTTTTATTATTCTATTTAGAGTTGACATGTCAAGCACTGACGAGATTTGATGTACATTATTTCACATTTAACTTGCGTTAATATGCATTGTTCTACCTTGCTTTGCTTTGCAATCAATAGCTGGAAATGTGCATGCCAACGGCGTGAGAGATCTTTAAGAAAACTTTACATTTTTGTAATTTTTGAAAAAAACAAAATAGTACACCGAGATGAACTTTACGTCATTTTAAAGAGTGCAATTAGAACTATCCTTTCGAAATGTTTAAAGAAAAAAAATTGGAGCCTTTTTAAAAAAATGGCATTTGAGCGATTCTGAAAATACTGAATTTTGAGTTAGTTTTCACAGAATACGGTTGAGGTTTCGAGAAGCTTTATCTGACATTATTTAAAGCACATGTACTCATAAATACAATTATGAGAACAAATTGCCGCTAATATAAATATTAACGATATGAGAGACAAGTAAAAAAAATACATTTTTGTAATTTTTCAAAAAACCACAGAATAAACCAATAGTTTATGTCATCTTATAGAGTACATTTAGCATTATTCCTACGAAAAGTTTAAAGAAAAACTTTGGAACAATTTTTGAGAAAATCTTGTTTTTGTATTTCTTTAAAACTATATATGTTTCTCGGAATATTACGCGAAGACTACTAAATTTTTCAAAAAAATAAAATTAAAAAAATGACCATAATAAGAGAACTTATTGTGAAGAACAAATTGCATTTGAAGGACAAATCTCTACCTTTAATTTTGTAGTTGGAATATACAGCAAAAAGTTTGAAAATTTCGGAAATTCTGAGTTAACTATTCTATTGTTATAAGAAATTTTAAGAAAACATTTTGAGCCGTTTTTGAGAACCTTGTATTTCTGTTGAAATCTCAATTTTCCGCAGCTTGCATACTATTTCCTATACTACATACCATATATACGTACATATACGGGAAATTAAAAAGAAACAATTTCAGCGATGGCTGTCAGTAATAATATTGTTTCTCCTATACTAACTTCTCCCATCGATTAGTTTATCACTCGTGCGAACTATTAATGGATGGGGTGGGGAATCAGTTCGAAAAATAGGATCCTTTTTTTCGGCCTTTATAAGGAACCTTTTTTCGAACGAGACATTTTTAGACAATACTTTTAATTAAGAGTAATGCCAGGGCGCGCAAAGAACGAGAACAGTAAGAGAATAAATAATGGTGTAAGAAGAAAGGTAATGAGTGAAAACAAAGGGAAAAGGGGAGGAAAAGGAGAGAGGTAACAAAGTAGGACGAGAAGAGGGTAAGGGAAAGAAACGAGAGAAGAAAGGAAACGGAAGAGGATGGAAATTGAGTATGGAAAAGGAAGAGGTAACGGAAGAGGAAGGAGTATGAAGGAGAGGAAACGGTAGGTAGAGATAGAGAGAGATAGAGATAAAGATATATATAGAGAGAGAGGGGAGGGAGAGAGAGAGGGAGGCAGAGAGAGAGGGAGGGAGAGAGAGGGAGGGAGAGAGAGGGAGGGAGAAAGAGAGGGAGGGAGAAAGAGAGAGAGGAAGTGGTGGGTTGCTAGAGAGAATGGAGACTGGAGGAACGGGGGAAGAATGGGGTTGGAGGGCTCACCTCGTCCCTGCGCGCGTGCTTGGCGGCCGGGCCCGCGCCGTCCAGGTCGAGCGGGTCGAGCGGGTCGCGGCCCGTCTGCCGGCGCTTGCTCTGGATGGTGAGCTTGAGGCCCTCCTTGATGAGCTGCGAGCACGTGTGCTGAACGGACGGCGGCGAGCTGCCTCCGCCCCCGCGGCTGCCGGCCGCGCCCGTGGGGCTGCCCAGCGGCGGAGTGCCTGCGCACCGCCACCACCAACGCTGCACCACCCGCCGAGCAATTCTTTTCTTTTCTTTTCTTTTCTTTTCTTTTCTTCAAGTTCGCCAACATTTATTGTTTTATGGGAGAAATATTCCCTTTTTTACGTTTTTTATTGAATTTCTTTTAATTTAATTTTTTTTACCGATTTCGCGAGTGAGTATAGGTTTCGGACACTTTTCAACTATTGAGGACATTTGTTCCGTGATTGTTGTACATGTTATATAAAATGTGGAGGCTGTATCCTTTCCCCGCTGTATTGTGAGATCGGCGCCGACCTAGACCAGCTTGTGAGATTTTCTTTTGACAGGTCTGCCAAGGGGGTAGTTGAATGTCGCGAAAAAAAATAATAACCGATTAAATTTGCTTTTGTTTGTAAAATATATGGGTCATCTCGAACTGTAAGAAGCACAGAAACTGGAAAGTTTTAAGAAAAACTCTTTATGTCATTTTATTGTCCTGACTGACCATATAAGACGTAGGAGGAGTGTGCGCGTGCGGGGAGCGGGGCTGACCTGCGGTGGAGCCGTGGCTGCTGAGGGGGCCGGAGCAGCTGCTGGAGGAGCTGCAGCTGTCGCCCGTGGGGCTGAGCGCGCCGCTGCCGCTGCCGCAGGGCTGCCCGGCAGAGGGCAGGGCGAGCGCCGACGGGCTACCGCCGGGGGCGGCGCGGGGGCCCGACGCTCGGCCGGGCGCGCCGGGGAACGCGTCGAACGGACTGCCAACACACACACACAAACCGGCTTGGTGTAAAGAACGTATTCTAGCGGGAGGTGGCGGTGCTTCTCCCCGCTGGATGGTGAGATCCGCCGCCAACCCACACGTCGGCTTGCGCAGGATATCCCCCTCCAAGGTCTCCCCTCAGTGGGGCACCTCCCCACACCGACGATGACGACCACCGCAAGACCATCAACATAGAAACGCTCACCTGGTCATGGCGATGAGGGAGTTGAGGATCTCGGGCGTCTTGGGCGTGGTGCAGGAGCCCTCCACCGCCAGCAGCCCCGCGGCCCCGGGCGCCACGTTCACGTTGAGGTTGTACATGGCGGCGGCGGCGGCTGCGGGCAGGGCAGGCGGCTGCGGGGCAGGCGGGAGCGCCGTCACGGGGCGGCAGGCGAGCGCGAGGGCGGGCGGGAGTCGGGTCGCGCGGGCGGCGCGATGCTCATGTCTCGCCGGAAGACCTCGGGGCCGGCGGCGTCCTGGAACACACGAATGCAACAACGCCCGGTGAGCTGCTGGCTCTCACTCGGGGCACTGCACAGGGCACGACAAAGAAACCAAAAACAATGGATTGCCTTATTAGTGATTCGGGACGCGTCAATTGCTATCGCAACTAGTCCCGAAAGTGTAGTGCAAGGTTTGAACAAGGGAAGTGGTGATCATTCCCCGCTGGAGGCTCCCTGGCCCCCTTGGCTGCACACTTATGGCTT